GTAGTATAGTAGTATTGCCTATTGCCTAAAGAATTCCAAAAAAAAGTATTCTTGAACTCTTGATACATATTTTTTTTCTAACGCGCAGAAGAATTACTCGTTAATATACTAAAAGGGAAAATGGAAAAGGTGTTTGTTACACAACGGTCTTGATATATTAATTAAACTAGCATGGTGGCCCGCGCAGATTGCGCGGCTAGCATCATTATATTTTCTCTTATATAATAGCATATATATTTTCTTAATTTATTATTAAAATATATTCCTCCCTCCGTTTCTAAATATTTGACACCGTTGACTTTTTAGCACATGTTTGACCATTCGTCTTATTAAAAAAATTTATAAAATATGTAAAACCATAATATTTAGAAAAAAATATATTTAACAATGAGTCAAATGATAGAAAAAAATTAATAATTTACTTAATTTTTTTAAATAAGACGAACGGTCAAACATATTTTAAAAAATCAATGACGTCAAATATTTAGAAACGGAGGGAGTAAAATGACAACATAATTTTAAATTTTATACTAACTTTACCAAACTACAAATGTATAATATTCATATTGTATTGTATATACGTGATAATTATTAATTATTTTTAATATCAAATTTTAGTTATTTCTAAATTGTATTCCTATATAGACTCTACACTCATCTTCCAATATTCCTTATTTTTTAATTTTGAATTTTTGTATTTGTAAATTATATTTATATAAATATTATTTATTTTTAATTCTGAATTTTTATTATTTCTAATTGTAATTATATGTGAACTCTAAACTCATCTTTCAATTTCGAATTTTAGTTATTTGTAAATTGTATTTCTATATGAGCTCTAAACTCTACTTTTTAATTTTATTATTTTTATTCTAAATTCTAGTTAATTCTAAATGCCTATATGGACTCCATACTCTTCTTCTAATGCTCTTTTTTTTTCATTTCCGAATTTTTATTATTTCTTAATTATATTTCTACATGGACTCTATACTATTCTTTTAATATTCTTTATTTTTGCTCCCTAATTTCAATTATGTCTAAATTGTATTTCTATATGGACTCTATACTATTATTTCAATACTCTTTTTTTAAATTTCGAATTTTAGTTATTTCTAAATTGTATTTCTAAATAGACTCTAACCTGATTTTAATTTTCCTTTTTTAATTTCGAATTTCCATTAATTCTAAATTATATACCGGCATGGACTCTAATCCTCTCTTCCAATATTCTCTATTTTTAATCAATGTTGATGATCACGGCGAGAAGTTTGAACGGCTATAAGTATTTTGGCTTGTTGAAGATTTTTGGCTTGCTTTGGTTAATTGTAAATTTGGAAACGGTGCAGAGTTTCTAGCAGTGGTGTGAACACACAAATTCCTGAAGCAATGTCTGTTTCCAATGTCCTAGTATACTTCGCTGAATAGTATACAAAATGGTGCAGTGTTTTTTTTTCCTTCTTTTCGTTTTTAACCAATCCTAATCTCGTTCCAAGGTACTGTCCGCTTCCAGTGTCCTATTATGCTTCGGTTTTTTCCTTTTTCTTTTTCTTATTTTTCTGATTAATGTGAGATTTTCTAAGCCATGAGAACAAACGTGGAGGCTCCTTTTTCTATAACTTTAATAAGTTAATAGATGGGTAAATCCCTGCACAACAATAAAGAAAGAAAACATCTTACATGACACTCTGTTGCATGCGCTTGTTTGGCAAAAGCGAATTAAACAAGGGAAACGATGAATACAAATTCCGTTTTTCTTTTTTAATTTCTTGGCACGCACAAACTGACAGAAAGACATCCGGAGATCTTATATTAAACAGAAGGAAGAGCGAGTCGTTCAAAAAAAAATAAAGGATGAGAGCTTACAGGGTAAGGTAGCTATCAGTATCTTCAGAGACAACATATGAAATAAGAGAGAAGAACCGACAATTATTCAACTTGCCTTCTTCGGACTGATATAGGTATTGCAATGACCATTTGTTTACCTATCATTGCGACTATCAGGATTACAAAATCATTCAATCAATCTATAAATATTTGATATTCACGGATAAATCAGCACTGCACACTCTCCGAAAATAGCCTAATCACCGGTATCAGTGACTTCACTGAATTGAAAGAACCAATGGTAACTTGCCAAATGAATGCACAGAGATTTGCAGATAATCAAACATGCTGTCCATAGCTATTGCACAATGCAGACTCCTTTGGTAGTCAATACCCTCCTTACATGAATAAGTAAAAAATTACACTACAATCTAGTACCATTAATAAAACAAGAAAGAAATATCCAAAGCATGGGGAGCATATGATTGAAAATTATCCCAGGTGCACATATATGCTAATAACAAATAACAAAGATTGTTTGGTGTACTTGGAATCAATCAAAAGAAAATGCACTATTCTCTTTTGATCACCAATAACAATTAGAGCATCCTTCTAGTGTTACTTGGATATCTGATCGTCTCCTCAAGCCCTTGGGAATGGATCGAAGTACAGGGCAGTCAGACATCCTCAATGATGTGAGACAAGGAAAACTCTGTAACCAATTCGGCAAGCTTTCCAGTCTTACACAGTTTTCTACTCTCAAGCTATGGAGCGATACAAGATATCTCATACCATTCGGCAAGCTAGTTAATTCTGGACAAGAACAGACCTCAAGCTCCTGAATGTGCCTCAGTTCTAGAAGTCCCTTGCAACCATCAGATACTGTGAGCTCCTGGCATAGAGAAAGCGAAATGCTCCTGACGCTTCGTGCCACGCCATTAAAACTGCCTCTTCTACTGTACAACAACCAGTTGTTCATCGACAAGCTTAGCTTCTGGAGATGCTTCAGCTCCATGCACAGTGCTTCAAACTTTGGGCAGTGAATGAGTGTTAGTTCACAAAGACGAGGAAACATGTCCTTCCTCTCACTGTGATGCCAGATTTCAAGGTTGTGCATGTGGGATAATATGAGCTTCTCAAGCGAGGGGAACGTGCCATTATCACCATAGAATGCATCATCAATGATGCTGACAGCACTCATTCCATTTATCTCTGCAGTCTTGAGGAGAGGTAACTGCCCCAGTGGTGGTAATTTCTGACATGCCTTCATATTGAATAGCTTGATATGTAGAAGAGATTTCAGGTATGGTTCCCTCCAAGTCATCCACTGGGGCAACTTCGCTCCGGGATAGGAAATAATCTGCAAGTTTTGTAAGCCATCACTGGGTTGAAGAGATTCGAGTACCTGCTCAGCATTTTCAACATATGTGTTCCACTGATATGATAAGGATACCAGATCATGCTTGTCATTCAGAATTGCATCCTTAGCTTCTTGGACCTGCAAAACATTTTCAAGGAAATCCAATGCTAGTACTTTCAGCTTTTTAAGGGGCTTCAACTCAGAGATAGAACTTTCATGAGTGACCCCTATAATGTAAGCTGATAACACTTGAAGTTTGGCTAGCCTGGCAATGGCAGGAGGCATTCTAGTCAGTGATGAGCACTCTAATATGTTTACATACATAAGATTTTCCATTCGGCTCATTCCTTGAGGTAACCGAGAAAGGTAGTAACATCCTTGAAAATCTAATCTTTCCATGCGCACAAGGTTGCCGAGATCACTGTGAATTTCCACAAGTTTCTCACAGTGAGACAGGTCAAGAACTTCCAAAGAAGTAACCACTCCAAGAAAATTAGGCACTACCGAGATGTTTGTATAGGAAAGGTTTAGATAGTTGAGATCATGGAAATCTTTGATGGATTCTGGAACGGAGTCCAGGTCAGTTCGCGAAAGATTAAGGTACCTCAATTTGTTTAGATTACAGAACTCCCTAGGCAGATTCTTGATCCGAGTTGCTTGAAAGTCCAACACAATCAAGCTAGTACAGCTGCACAACTCCAGTGGAACCTCTTTGATATCACATCGTTTGTCAGCAGATAGAAGCATGTCTTCCACTGGGACTAGAAACAGTTTCTTCAGAGACCGCAGTTTAAACAAAAGCTTAGGAAACTTGAATGCTTTAGAGTCAACAAGTAGACATAGGTGGTTAGCCCGAGGATGAATCCAACATGTTTCCGGTGTAATCCTTGACCCAAAACATCCGTAAGGCCCACCCATATTGGCATTGATACTCTCCAAAACAAAGTGTCGTTGAAGGCGCATAGTGTATACTTGTTTCGGGCTGAAGCTATTTGCTGGGTGAGGGTACCTCCATTAGAGCGGTCGAGCACAATCGCAGGTCGCCACAAACAGAAATGCGCAGCGCAGGGTCCTCGGAAACCCAGATGTCAATCAGTTGTTGGATGTCGAAGACGTGATCCCGCGGGTAAGGTGCACAATGCAGCAAGCATTTCTGGAACGGGCGACGAAGAGAAGTGAAACAGATAGTGATCCAGATGCCGAAATGGGGGCAATGAGAACAATGATCCTCAAAGTTGTCAAGGACATGTCTCCAAGCTTTTGCTGTAATTTCATCCCATGGCAGGACCTCGTCGAAGTAGAGAATCAGGAAAGGAAGACCTTCGCAGCGGTGGACGAACCACATCTGCAGGTAATGCGGCGGGAACGGGAAGAGGCGCGTTGCTGACGAACAGCTGCCATGACTCCTCCGGCGACAGAGGCGGCACGACGAGTGGTGGGAGGGAATCGTCCAAGTGGCCACCGATCAAGATGATCGTGGATCCCGCCCTGCCGGCGCTAAGAACATCAAAAAGCTGTGCGAATTGGTGGCCGGCCGCTATCCCAAAAATCTTTTCGCACTCGCACATAGCTACCATCCGTATCAAACTTTTCGCCACCGAAATCATCGATGACGAACAAGAAAACGCAGGGGGAGAGGAGCACCTTGGCGGCGCGGGCGATGTCGTCCCTGTCCTGGAGGATGCAGTCCTCCTCCGTGAGCCATTCCACCAGCTGCAATCCCACCTTTTTGGCAGTGGATCGATCGGCCGCCGCCGCCACCGCCACCGCCACCGCCATTGACCACGCGGGGGCTGCCTGCCAGTGCCAACAAGCCATGTCCATGCCGCCGCTGCTCAATCGGCTCGACACCGTCGACCGCTGCTTCGCCTTGGCCGCGTTGTCGACGTCCGACTTAGGCGGCATCAAGCGGAAGCTAGGGAGAGAGATGAGGTTTCTTGAGCTCTGGTGGGACGAGATCAGGGAGAAGTTCTATGGCGAGTTCGGGCAAACTATCGAACATGTCTGGTTCCCGATAGGCGAGATCAGGCGCCAGTATCGCACTCTTGCCGCTTCGCAAGACACCGTCGAGATCCTCCGTCTCATGGAGAGGATGCGAGACACGACGCACTCCCTGCTCAAGCACAACACTAGGCCGGGCACGGGCAGCGGCGGCGACGATGAAATCGCCGCGGAGCTTCCGCGGCGAGATGATGATGATGAGCTCAGCCTCATCTCCTTGCGGGCACATCTTACAAGCATCATCCGTCTTCTCACGGACGCCATCGTCCACGAGGACGCGTGCGAGGCCAAGCTCCTCCTGGACAAGATCCGAGCCGACCTTGGACGCCTCGAGGGCGCGTTCAACGACATCCACCAGAGCGAGAAGACCATCGAAGGCTCCTTCGGCGCCGTGCAGCACCTCGTCGACGAGCTGCTGCTCGACGCCGCGGCCGCGCCGGTGGCCACCTCGAGCCGGCAGGACCAGCTCAGGTGTCTCATCACCGCGCTGTCGTCCGTCGACAGAGAGGTCGCCGCGATAACCGACCGTGTCAACGACACGTTCCGCCTCTCCACAGCTGCCGCTGCCGCGGCCGCGGCCGCGGCAACGCCGGCCGCGCGCGCCGCCTCAAGTTGCTGGGGCGGCGCGCTAGAGAGCAGCTGGGAGACGCGGCGGCATCTGCAGCTCGCGTCGCGATGGACAGCCTCGACACGCGGCTCAAGCGCTGCCTCCTCTGCTTCGTCGTCTTCCCGGACGACGCGGCGATCAAGAGGAGGCTGCTCATCCACTGGTGGGTCGGGGAGCGCCTGGTCGACTCCGTCGACCAAGGGAAGGAGGTGTTCGACGAGCTCGTGTCCTCGACGGGGTTCGTCACGCCACTGCGGCGACCGCACTGCAGCAAGGTCCACGGCTGCAAGATTCAGCCATGGGTTCGCGTTCTGCTCGTAGCCTGTGCGCGGAGGAACGCTTTCCTCGACGGGGTTCGTCACGCCACTGCGGCGACCGCACTGCAGCAAGGTCCACGGCTGCAAGATTCAGCCATGGGTTCGCGTTCTGCTCGTAGCCTGTGCGCGGAGGAACGCTTTCTTGGACCTCGACGCCAATGGCATGCCCAGGGACGACTTCGCCAGGACGCGCCGCGCCTGTCTCCGCGAAGGGAGGACGGTTGCCTCCGGCGCCGGCGCCGGCGGATTCCGTTGGGACGTGACGACGATATACAACGTCGACCGGCGGTACGTCGACCTGGACAAGTCGTGGTTCGCGCGGAAGGAAGAGCTGACCACATTGCAGCTCGGGACATGGAGGGACCACGGCTACGACCCCCGCGCGCACCACGTCGAGCTCATCAACGGCGAGCTCCTGCGCGGCATCGGCGCCTGTCGGAACATGAGGTACCTGAGCTTCCGAGGCATCTCCAGGATCGAGGCGTTGCCGGACTCGATCGGCGGCCTGTGCAGCCTCATCGTCTTGGACCTCAGATCATGCCACAACCTCGCGACGCTCGGCGAAGGGATCAAATCTCTCGTCTCGCTCGAGTACCTCGACGTGTCGGGATGCTACCTTCTCGGCGAAATGCCCAGGGGATCGGGAAGCTCTCAAAGCTGCAGGTGATCAAGGGATTCGTGGTCGCCAACTCCAGCAGCAAGGACCCGTGCCGTCTCAGCGAGCTGCGCGCGCTAACGAGACGAGGCTGAGGAAGCTGAGCATCGTGATAGGCCGGACGGCCAGGCCGGAGGCGGACGAGGTGACGGCGCTCGCGAGCCTCCCCGCGCTCCGGTCGCTGACGATGACATGGAGCGGGGTGTCACCGGCGGAGCAAGATGGTCGAGATGCAACTGACAAGGTGGCGTTCGCGCTCCCGTCTGAGCTCGAGAAGCTGGACCTCCGGTGCTTCCCGCTGCCGGACTTCCCACGGTGGGCGGAGCCTCACCTGCTGCCGCGCCTGGAGAAGCTGTACGTTCGCGGCGGCATGATCACCGGCCTCGGCGAAGGCGGCGGCGGCTCGGCGGTGAAGGTGCTTCGGGTCAGGTTCCTCAGGCACCTCGACTATTCTTGGGAGAAGCTGCACGACGCATACGGGAAGCTTGAGATACTGGAGGTGTGCGAGTGCTCCAACGTGCAGGCTTGGCCTGCTTGTCGTGGTGGGCTTGGGCTTTGGAGGAAGGGAGAAGATTGCTAGAGTTTTTCACTCTCTCCTCACCGGATCTGATCAACGACGATAAAATATTGTTGCGTCCAAGTATCCAACTGCCCTGAAAATAATATTTCTATGAGTTTTTTTCACCCTTCTTCACTGTAAGGCTGTGTTCTTTGGTTGAAGCTCTCAACTCACATCTCTTGTTTTTCTCGCACAAGTTTTTTCAAATTGTTAAATGGTGTGTTTTCTTTAAAAAAATTATATACGAAAGTTATTTTAAAAATCATATCAATATTTTTTTAAAAAATAGCTAATACTTAATTAATTATGTGCTAATGAGTCATTCCGTTTTACGTGTGCAAGAGATTAGTTGCCAACAACAGAAAAAATGTAGCAGCCTAAATGTACAATTGTTTACATATTTCCATCGATTCAGTGACGGAGCAAGGAATTTATTAACCCTATAAATTGATTGTTGAATAGTATAGGAGAATATTGAACATGTTGTATTGTATTGAGCCTCAGGACTGGAGGCCCGGCAACCTTCCTGCCCTCCATGGCGAAAGTTGACGTCAGGACCGACCGGCAGATGGTGGCGAGACCGAAGGTCAGGGCTGGTTCCAAGCGGCGTTGGCGCGCTGGTGGTGGCGGCCTAGGCGGAGGAGGATGCCGGCCAAGACGGGTCTCCCCGTGCCAAGTGTCGCGCCGATGATGGTGGCGCGACAACGAAGGTTGAAGGAGAAGGAAGACGAGCGGTAGACCGTGGGTGAGACGGGCGGGAGCCCGATGTTGTGGACACGGCCTCCAGATCAAGGTGGGGGCGTCAGGAGGCGTGGAGAAGGGGCGGGCGGTGGGCTCCGACAGGCGGAGGGCCGCCAACGTCGATGGTGAAGCGGCTAACCGGAGTCTCAGCTAACAACCGAGACCTAGTAGCATTGAAGCTCGGTCCACCCTGCTTTGTACGAGTGCATATTACTAACCAATGCGCCGCAATCAACAATTACGATGATCATGGTTAGGCTAAGGGTGTGTTTAGTTCACGCTAAAATTAGAAGTTTGGTTGAAATTGGAATGATGCGATGGAAAAGTTGGAAGTTTATGTGTGTAGAAAAGTTTTGATGTGATAGAAAAGTTAGAAGTTTGAAGAAAAATTTTAAAACTAAACTTGGCCTAAGTAATTAAGGTCCTTACATTGTAACCTTGAAACAGACAGGCCATTGATCAGTGGATGGTAAAAAAATGCTGAACCTAATCAGAGCATAGAAGGTGCGTCACACAGAAATTCAGTTGACGTGTTCACCCCCAGCATCTACTCTTGACCGGATCTGATTAACAAACGTTGCATCCAACTGGCCTGACATTAATTTCTTTTTGGGGCTTTTGTGTCCCCCTGCTTAACTCTGCACGTACAATCGTTAATGTAACCATGGACCAGTTGATGTATTTGATGAACTGCTTCAACAAAGTAAGTAAAACAACTGTGACTTGAACTACTCCAAAAGTTCAGTAGTAGCAAGGAGGTTTAGAGCATACTAACCTCTTCAGCACCGTTGATCTCCCTTCACTAATCTGCTCATAACTACAGCAGGATGGTCAAAATGCTGAAGATAAGCAGAGCATATATATGCACCGACGAGTATTTCTGTTTCTCACACACAGAGATATTCAGGTCACGTACATGACATGTTATGATTAGCTGCCCCTGCCATTAGGTGAAGCGAATAAAACCCCTGACCAAACCGACAAGCATTCATGGTCATGGGGTGCGCGACCGCTGCACCACACCACACCAGCTCACACTCACACTCACACTCGCACGCATCGATCTCATTCATTTCATTACTACCTGGCTCCATCGCATCAGCATGATATATGTGTAGTAGTGCAAGTTTTATACACACGCGACAAGGACGAGAATACATTATATGGGCATGATGTCCCAATTACGAGCGACTGTACGTACGAGAGACACTGACATTCAGATTCAGATCCCTCCTTTCCTTATCTGCTCAAAATTTACTGCCTTTTTTTCTATCTATATCTTCAGTTTACTACTGTTAAGCCGTGTGTGTACGATTAGTACTGGTTTGTCAAAGGTGAATGGAATAAAGCATGCGGTAATAAGGACAATGAGGTTAGGACAGCAAAGATCCACTACTGCTCAGTACAGTTGCAGGTAGAAAACAAAGCGATCGACCAACCAAACCAAACCAACAAACAAACCAATTAAGCTAGCTCTGATGATGAATGATGATGATTCCCCCGTGAGATTGCTACCTCCATTTGCTAAAGCCAATCCCACCGAGATCGCTTCTTCACCGGCGCTAGCTACCGTCGCCATCACCTCCTCCTCCGACGCGCCAAGAGAGACCCGTGCTTTCTTGCTGCGTGGTATATACAATTGCACACTTGCTCGAGCAATTTATTAGTAGGAGTAGTGTCGCTTCGTCCTCACTCTCACTCTCCTCCACTGAGCTAAGCTTAGCTTAGCTTAGCTTCTCCTCCCCGCTTCTTCTTCTTGCCCATCCCACTCGCCGGCCGCCGCCAACCGGAGAGGAGGCAAGAACGGTGGTGCGACAATGCAGCCGTTGCGGCCGAGCCCGGCGGCGGGCGGGTGGGCGGGGGTCGCCGGGGTGGGGCCCACCACCGTCGACGAGGCCTCCATGGAGCGGAGCAAGAGCTTCGTCAAGGCACTGCAGGTGCGTGCCCGCATTCCATCCCAGATCCCTCGCGCTCACAAGAATGTCTCGTTTCCTTCGCTTAATTTTGTCCATGGATCCGGCCGGTTCTTGGTTTGTGGTGGTGGTGATGCCTTGCGTCTGTGCGTGTGCAGGAGCTCAAGAACCTGCGGCCTCAGCTCTACTCCGCCTCCGAGTACTGCGAGAAATCCTACCTCCACAGCGAGCAGAAGCAGATGTGAGTGAGGTTTTAGCTCTTTGGTGCATTTTGTTACCACTTACCATTTTAATTTACAATCATAAAATCAGTGGTAAATTTGCATCTTGCATGGTATCTAGCTCTACTTTCGTCTTTTGTTTTAGGGGTTGAATTGAATTGAATCGAATCGTTGGTACATCGTGTGCTAGCAGTTAATTATATGATAGGTATTGGAGGCTAAAACCACCTAATAAGTGAAGGAGGACAGCAACATGTGTGGCAAGGGGACTTGATGTTGAGATGTGACAACAAAACAAACTCTACTGCCTAAAGAAGAATATAGGATGTCTGTATTCTCTGGAATTTTGGATTTATCTAACCACCATCTCTGTATACTACTAGTATATTCAATTTGGAATTTTGCAGCCCACATGTTACTATTAGGGGCTTTTCTCATATTTGTTAATGTAGAAGAAATTCTGAAACATGGGTTCTAAAATGTTTATTTTAGAAAAAGACCATATGGTAATTCTAAAGCATTGTTTCTTAGTGCATCGTATTTTCATAATTTGAAGCTTTTCTGCTGATATAGGGTGCTGGAAAACCTGAAAGATTATGCTGTACGAGCTGTCGTCAATGCTGTTGATCACCTTGGTACTGTTGCATACAAATTAACGGACCTGTTTGAACAGCAAGCTTCTGAGGTCTCTACGGTTGAGCTGAAGGTTGCACGCTTAAACCAGGTAAAGCTATATCTGCTTTGCATGCAGTATGTGCTGATCAAACCATGACAATTTAACTGACAATATCAGTTTATCCTATCCTCCAATTTATAGCAAATCCTCACCTGCCAAATCTTCACCGACAGAGCAGGCCTCAGGCAGCAGAAGATTGGTGGAACAACTTTTAAACATCATAAGCACTATATCCTACCATGTAAGGATGTATACAATTAAGAACTTCTCCACTGTTTTTTCCAATTAAATGCTAAATCTTGCCTATACTTACTTGCCAAGCTAGCTACCGGTCATAAAAGAACTCAAGCTGCACGCCTGCAAACAGACAATGGTCAGGATTCAAAACCTAAACCTTATCCTTCAGGTATGGACCTTCTTGTTCCTTTTTGTTCAGATTGCAAATTTTATGGATGCTACTTTTCATATGAACCAACAAACAACATTTCATATTTGGACTGCAGCCAAGACCCTTTCATGGCATCTGTCTTCAGAGAACAGCATTTCGACAACTGGAGCACAGAAATATACATTTACGTAAGATACTATCATTAGTTGTTTTGTTCAGTTCTGTTTAAATTGCACCTTTCTTCATTTACTAAGGTGCAATGGAGCTATTCTCTTCTGATCTATCTTCTTGTCATCTTTTGTGCAGACTAGGGGATACTATATCGTCTAAACCTGCATCAAATGGTTCCATGTACCTTCTAGGTAATCAAACACTATGCTAAATTGTGTTGTGTCTCATGACCATGATCTGATGATGGATGTGCGCATATCGTTTAACTGTAAAATAGGGGGATTTTGAAATATTCGTATGCCAATTGAGTGTTCCATCTAAATAATTGATCTTTCAGGCAAGGACATACCTGCTTCTCCCATGCACAAGCCTCTGCAACCGAATGGGAACACCAGTTTTGATGCTAAGAAAAATGTTGGTTCAAAGGTAAATAATTGGAATATAAAATAAGCTTAGTAGGAGTATGAATTAAAAACAAGTTAATATTTTACCATCATACTTGTCTATATTCAGTAAAATGGGTTTATCCCCATATAGTTGTTTTGTTCTTTATGAAACCCAACAAAAGCAAATTACCATGTCTGCATTTTCAGGACCAGCCTGGTTTCATGCATATGTCGACATTTAATGCATTGGACAAACCTAGAGGGCGTGAAATCCAAAAGGTTCCAGTTAGCACTAAAAGCATGCTAGCTACCCTCTTTATCAAGCACAAGTCAGCAAAGACGAGAAAGGCCTCAGTTCGATGATTAGTTCCCGTTTGTGTGTGTGAAGTGATATCACTGTAAAGTTCAAGCAAGAGGCTTATTGTAAATCTGATTTTCGCTTGTGCGGTTTAGAGCTGAATGTGTAAGTGTCAATTTTTCAGGTCAGCATCAGTGGTGCCATTCCTGTTGATGAACAAAATGTAGTAATTCTGCATCAGCGCCCAATCAGTTCCATGTTGTTGCTGTGCTATTCTGCTTCTAAGAAGCCTCGGCTTTCAGCAGACAATAAAATTCATATTCGAAATGGAGCTGCTGGCTTGTAGAGATACTTCTGATGTTCTTCGTATCCTTTTCAAGGGAGATTTGTACCAGATTTGCTGGCATATGGTCCTGTCATCGCGAACATTTTGTTGCGATCCAAATTCTGAAAGGTCAATTGGGCTGTGGAATCTGGCATTGAAGCAAGATGCATTGGGCTGACCATTAACGGATCCCCAATCCTCGCTTCAATGGTCAAATTCTTCTTAACCTTAAAACCTTCTCGAGTTATCAACTTATCTATCGTCAAAGAGTTCATTGCCAAATTCTTCTTCTGGCAAAGAAAAGTAATCAAATTTCGAAGCATACATCATCAGTTAAATTCAGCTTCACCAGAAAAGCGTTATCTTGCCTTGCCTGATATGATCAGTAGAAACTGTTTTACAGAGCTCTTTTTATCAAGAGACAGAAAACATATGGCCAGAAAGCACAAGCATACATACACAAACGCACCACACCCACTTCAGAGAGCTATCCACCATGATACATAACGAGTCCAATATGCCTTGCATATACTTCATTGAATTCCGCCGATACGAACTGCTCTTGTAACATTTACAAAGATAATGCTCACTTCCCTAAGATGGAACCATATAGAATTTGTGAAAGGAAAAAAACTTCACAATAACTGTAGGAAAGGCTTAAAACATCCGCCGTCGATTTGGAACAATCTCAGGGCTGTTGTTCTTCATCATGGCAACAAACTCCTGGTAGTTAATTCTTCCATCCTAAGCAGTAAGTCAGGACACAGTATTTAGTAGGAAATCCATGCAGTTCCCGTTTTAATGTTCACTTTTGAATAATAGCATCAGCAATTTTCAGTTATTCACCCACATCATGTATTCATGTTGGTGGAAGTATATTGCTTAGAGAAGGAATGATTTCTCGATAGCTAACCTTTTTATTTATCTAACAGGAACTCGATTACTAGAGAGCAGGATGGATCAAAGTTCACTAGCTTACATAGTTTATTAATATAGTTAGATTTACCCTATGAAAATTATAATTAGCCAGCATCCATGATCTTAGAGATGGCTGAGCAACATTCAGCATACTTGAAAACCAAATCTCCTCCAATGTTTTCAAGATATTCAATGTAATCAATTCGATTATCCTGATTTAAAGGCCGCAGGAATGATTATTTTCATATTCTAAACGTTGATGACATATCAAAAAGTAATCACTGGAGTTTTCTAGGTATTTAGTGGAGTGACTCACATGGTCTGTATCCACTTCAGCAATTATTTCTTTAATTGTCGCTTCATCACCCATGTCGTACTTTGTCAGAGCTTCTTCCAATTCATCGACTGTTATGAACCTGTACAGAAACAAGCAAACAACAAACTAGTTAATCCAAAAGATCGAACCTATCAAAATGATTTTCAAAAAAATGACAGAAGTAAACTTACCCGCTGTGGTCCTTGTCAAAATATTCAAATGCTTTATATATGTGATCTTCCTTCTCTAATCTATTCATGTGCATCGTTGCTGATATAAATTCAACATAATCAATGGACCCATTTCCATCAACATCAGCCTATGCAAGAAGAAAATATTATCAGATAGGAAAGGAGAAAAGATTTATGAACAACAAGCTGAAACAGAAAATGTTGAATCTAACAGACAAGTTCTAGCTGTGGAAAAGTCAATTCCATCTTAACTCAGTATACTGTTTAAAGTCACAAAGTATGGTTCCATTTCTCCCTTTTCGGATATATGAACAGGACATTTACTAGGATGACACTACAATATTGGCACTGTTTGGATCCGGAGGGCTATTAAATAGCCCTCCGGAATCTTGCTATTTAGGAGTATTAAACGTAGATTACTGACAAAACCTATTCCATAACCCCTAAGCTATTTTGCGAGACGAATCTAACGAGGAATGTTAATCCATGATTTGCTACAGTGATGCTACAGTAATTAGCCGCTAATCATGGATTAATATACATCATTAGATTCGTCTCACAAAATAGCCTAGGGGTTATGGAATCGGTTTTATCGGTAATCTACGTTTAATACTCCTAAATAGCAAGATTCCGGAGGGCTATTTAATAGCTCGGAGGATCCAAACAAGGCCATTATAGTGAACTACTGGCATTGGTACAGAATCAAGATATGAGCGTGCAGAGACAGAAAGAGAATATGAGCATACCGCTTCCATCAACTGCCTTAATTCTGATTCCGAAATTTTAGTGCCAAGCTTTGGTAGACCAGCTCTTAGTTCTTCAAGAGTTATCGTCCCACTGTTATCAGTATCTAAAGATTTGAACATTTCCTTTAAACCCACAATCTCTTCCTCTGACAAGTTCTCTGCAACGACCTAGCCATAACATAATAAAAGACAAGATTTATCATGTATTGCAGAATAAAGTGCAAAGCCATAGAGAAGAAATGCTTGATGTTCAAAACATCTTATTACCTTCAAGGCAACCTTCTTAAGTTTGTTCATTGCTCTGAACTGCTTCATTCTACTGATCACTGTAATATCAAGTGGTTTATCTGGGGCCTCTCCATCCTCTCTAATCCATGGGTGGTCTGTGTATTTAAAATATCAGATTAAGATACTATACACAGATGAAGATTTAGTTTGTAAAATCACCACAAATGCTTTTACTAATAATAGCAAGCAGTGCGCTTTAAAAGTTCCAACCACACATATGGGCAAATCAATTCGTAGAACCAAGATTGGCAACAAATAGCAGAGTTTGAAAATATCAACTTACTCAAAATTTCAGCAGCAGTTAACCGCTCCTTTGGGTCCTGCCGAAGCATCCGCTTGACCAAGTCTTTTGCACCACTAGATATAGAAGGCCATGGTTCAGATGAGAAGTCGATATGACCTTGCAGAACAGCATCAAATATACCGTCCTCGTTTTCTGGTAAAACCAACAAAGGGTCCATGTTAGGATAATGGTATCAAAATCTATTGGATGCTTTCTTGTATTGAACCTGGTTCTGGGCTTTCTTACTAAAAGCCTGATGACATAGTGATCTGCTCTATAAAAAAACTTTTTGATGCAAAGAGCAGCGATATGTAATGTACCTGCCCAGAATGGAGGAACCCCTGATAGAAGGATGTAAAGGATAACTCCAGCACTCCATATGTCTGCCTCAGCTCCATATAGTCGTTTTAGGACCTCAGGAGCCACATAATATGCACTTCCAACAAGATCTCTGAACTGCTCACCTGCATTCCCACACCACCCCATCAGTTTGAACACACCTTGAGCACCCCATCAGTGCTACGATTCATGACATTTCCTCTCTTGTGGTCCTGAAACAAAAGCCCATGCCTTGCCTAACATGATGCACAGGCCTTTGCCGCTATATTTGTCCCTGATCCCGCTTTGAGTTGACCATGAGAGCGTAAATGAAGTGTAATCCGACAGGATACCATAGTCATCGCAGTTGGAAGGTGTCCACACAGAGAGCAGATGATGGCTAATAGATTGGTGGTGGATTTGGTTTGTGTAAATTATTTATATTAATTTGGAGGAAGCAGCAAGGAATGGGCAGTAGAAAAGAAAGATGGGAGGATACCGGGCTTGAAGAAGACGGAGAGGCCAAAATCGGTGGCTTTGAGCGGGGAGTCCTCGCGCTTGTTGAGGAAGAGGAAGTTCTCGGGCTTGAGGTCCCTGTGCATGACCCCCATGGAGTGGCAGCTGTGGACGACGGAGACGATCTCCCTGCAGAGGGCGGCGGCGGCGCGCTCGGAGTAGTGGCCCCTGGCGATGATGCGGTCGAAGAGCTCGCCGCCCTCGCAGAGCTCCATGACGAGGTTGACGGAGTGGCGGTCCTCGTAGGCGCCGCGCAGCTCGACGATGTTGCGGTGGCCGGTGAGGTGGTGCATGATGTGGACCTCGCGGCGGACGTCGTCGAGGTCGTCGGGGCGGGCGAGCTTGCGGGCGGCGATGGACTTGCAGGCGTAGCGTCGGCCGGTGGGCTTGTGGGTGGCGAGGTAGGTCACCCCGAACTGCCCCCGCCCCAGCTCCCGCCCGAAGGTGTAGGTCGCACGGACGTCCTCCATGGGCCGCCCCAGCACCCGCCCCACCCCATCCTCCGCCGCCGCCTGCTGGGGCGCCTGCTGGGGCTGGTGCCGCGGCGGCGGCGGAGGCTGAGATCGCGGCTGCTGCGGCGGCGGTGGCTGGGGCTTGGGCTTGGGCTTGGGGGCCCGGGTGGTTTGGTGGTGGTGGTGGTGCTTGTGGTGTGGGGATGGGGATTGGGATTGGGATTGGTCGGGGGATTGGCGGTGGCGAGAGGCGCGGGCGCCCATCGGTGGCGAGAGGGGTTTTGGCTTTGGTTTTGGGGGTTTGGATTGGGGGGAGGAGGAGGAGGAGACCATGACTTTGGCATTGCTCTGCTCTGCCGTGCTGTATTATCAAATCATCGTCGACTACAGTCTCGTAGGGCGTTGGGTTTGCGCGTGGTTCCCTTCCCCTCCCCCGCGTGTCTCCGCGTCGGACGCCACCATTCCCCTCCGCGTGGGGACGCGCGCGCGCACGGTCGCCGTTGTGTGCTGCGGCTTGCGACACGAGAGGGGAGGTTGACGGGCGATTTCTGGGGCGGCCGTGTCCTGCGCTCATTCGACGCCGCCGCCGCCACGAACCTTCCTCCCGTCCCGACCAACAACCGACACAAGACTTCTCTTATCAACTTTCCACCTCCTTATATTATTAATGAAAAATTAATGAATTCTGCTCTCACAGAGGGTCTTCCTCCTCCTTCTCTCTTGCTTTTCAGCATTCATAACTTGCATGGACCGTCATCTCCGTCTATAAAGTTTTAGTCCCTCTGTCTCAAAATAAATGCAGTTTTGCACTGTTTATGTTTAACTTTTGACCATTCATCTTATTTGAAATTTTTTTATGATTAGTATTTTTATTGTTATTAAATGATAAAACATGAATAGTACTTTATGTGTGACTATTTTTTTTTCAAATTTTTCATAAATTTTTTAAATAAAACGAACGGTCAAACGTCGGACACGGGGTTCCCTATGACTGCACTTTTTTTTGAGATGGAGGTAATACTCTGTACTCAGTTGCGTCACTTTCTCTTAAGCCAGCTCGTGACGACGCTGACCAACCGCAACTTCATCACTTTCTCCCTCACCGTGCGTGCTCCCTCCTCGTTGGACCCACGCCACGTCACCACCGTACTAACAAACGTTTCACGGGGCTTCAGATTTTACTACAACAACTAGACCCTGTTTTCTACCTTCAACCACGTCCCCATTCTGCATTTGTTTGTCACTACTTGTCACGGAGCACGTACTTCATGGAGTTTATTACTACAACTACATCATTCATCTATTCATTCATTGATGGCCATCAAGACATCAAGAGGTACTTAGAGGGTGTTTGGAATTTTGGATCAGAGACTAAACTTTAATCTATGTCACATCGAATATTTGGAGTATTAAACATATTCCATTAACAAAACTAATTTATTAACTTATTAAAGGAATAGAAAATGAAGCATCCACGTTCGCTCTCACGGCCTAGAAATTCTCATATTAATCGAAGAAAAAGAAAAACAGAGTCCATATAGAAATATAATTTAGAAATAGTTAAAATTCAGAATAAAAAAGACTAGAGTCCATATAGAAATATAATTTATAAATAACTGAAATTCGGAATTAAAAAAATAAGGAATATTAGAAGTAGAGTATAGAGTCCATATAGAAATACAATTAGGAAATAATGGAAATTCGGAATTAAAAATAAGGAATATTAGAAGTAGAGTATAGAGTCCATATAGGAATTTAAAGCTAACTAAAATTCAAAATAAGTATAATAAAATTAAAAGTATGGTTTAGAGTCTGTATAAAAATATAATTTATAAATAACTAAAATTCAAAATTTTAAAAAAAACACATGGGAAGAAGAGTCTAAAGTCAATATAGGAATACAATTTAGAAGTACCTGAAATTCGAAATTAAAAAAAATTAAAGAATATTGAAAGATGAGTTTAAAATCCACATAGAAATACAATTATAAATAATAAAAATTCAAAATTAAAAATAAATAATATTGAAAGAAGAGCCTAGAGTCTACATGGAAATACAATTTACAGATAACAAAAATTCGGAATTAAAAAAATATTGAAAGACGAGTCTAGAGTCTATATAGGAATATAATTTACAAATAACTAAAATTTGATATTAAAAATAATTAATAACTAACACGTATATAAAATACAATATGAATATTACATATTAGTAGTTTCGTAAAGTTAGTACAAAATTTAAAATTATGTTGTCAATTTAATATATTTGAATAATACATTGAGAAAACATATATGCTATTATATGAGAGAAAATATAATGATGCTAGCCGCGCAATCTGTGTGGGCCACCATGCTAGTTACATAAATAAGAGATAATTCGCGAGATATTTTACATCCGTGCTCGTTGCCTCCCCCATCGGATGGCTTAAATCCATTTGGCAAAAAAGGTTGTGTTCGATCCCCAACCGCGATGTGCTAGGGTTTGGAGGCCCGGTGTTCAATCCCATCTTCCCTCCGTGCAGCCGCTAGGATCAGTTTTATCTTCTTTCTTTCTTTCTTTCCGTGTCATTGTTATTAGATTAGATTCTAAGTTCCCTGTTGAGATTCCTTGCTGCTCATGGGGGCCTGCCGAAAACTACCTCACCTGATTACGTTTTGTTTTTGGTTTTAGCCCCTTATTTTTTTTATATGCAGATAGCGCTCGCCGGAAATTCCAAGCAGTATATAGAATTATAGATCGCCGACATGTGTAGGCGTTTCTTGTTTCAGGAATTCTCGTCCGTGCTGTCCAGATCGATGCCTAATCGTCCTACCTCCGCTGTATGTATACACACTCCTCCAAATCTTTCAAATTTCTGGTTTTTCTTTCACAGCAGGGAAGAGCATAATTGCTCTTTTCCTCCTCTCAGGAAGGAGGAGGCGTTTCTGCTATCAACAATGTTTTTAATGGAGCTCTCCGTCGTTTTAGCACGGTGATTCCCAATAACCATGGCCTTCCTGTTTCTGTAAGTAGCTAATAGTACTCAATTTCTTTGCTAGCACTAGTTTTACACTTTCAAACCGGCCAATTTATAATTCCTTTTCTTTTTTAAAAAAAGAACAAGGCGGTGCCTTTTCTTTTGTTTCCTTTCTCACATCTATGCAATTTTCGATAACTTTGATTTTTCCACAATATAAGAGTGAACTTGTATGCCTTTGTTGAAAAAAAAAATATTAATTTCCTTGTACTGCCTTCCAATGCAGCAAGCAAAGTGCCTGAATTCTATTCAAAGCCCTAACGCAGCTACCAAAGCAAACCACCCAACAATTGGTGTGGTTCCTTTTGCCAGCCGGACTTTCTTCTCTTATACAAAACCCTACCACCTGCCTTCTCTGGGTGAAACCAATTACCTGGATTATGCAGCAGCAGACTTTAAAGCGTAAGTCTGAGTACTAGCCTGTATCAGTTTACTTCCTGTTACTTGAATTGATGTGTTTATTGTTGGCTTAGCCCGAATCTTGTTCTGCTATATATAAACTAAATTTCAGCTTATTATTTGGTCTTTTCTTTATTTGCGGGATGCATTTGAGAGCATATATTGTCATTGTAGTTCCCGTTAGATCTGGTTACAGGGACGGCTGTTAAGGAGTTACAGGCCAGATGATGATTGTATTTTTTTTGTTTGTTAATATATGAGCAACTCTAATAAAATTTTAGTTCATTAGTTGGATCCTTCCCATAGTACATGATTGTAGGAAAGCAAATACTAGTAATCTAGGTCGATCAAATTAAACATAATCGAATGAAAGAACCTGTTTACAGGAAAAAGGTAAACTTTGCTCCCCTGAACTTTAGCTATGGGAATTTTTGCAACATAGGTTCTGATCCCGTCTATCATCCCATAAACTTTCAACTTAGAACACAGCTTGTACGACAGGAAGCAAAAATGCCAGTTGTTTTTAGGGATTAAAACAAGCTATATCACTTCTTTTAGTGAAATAGTTTCGCAGTAGAAAAATGGACTGATTTTTAACTTAATTATGGGGCATGAGCATCCGCATGTATAGTTTCTCCTTTTCTGGTGGACAGTTGTTATTCTTTTTTCTGGAGAAATCTCCAGTTCAATTAAACCTATGAAAACTCAATTTTTCTATGTTCACGAAGAAATTATTAAAGGTAGGGATAGGCATGGTCTCTTTCTCACCAAATTTCTAAGACCAAACTCAACTTCGTTTGGAAGATTAAAAGAAGACAAATTCTGCATGAAACTTTCCTATCACTATCCGTTCAAAGTTTGTATTTCTTGTATCTTGCAAGCAAATTTGAATTTGGTGTTGAAATCTTGTGGAGATATAGACCATGCCTATACCTACCTCTAATATTTTACTCACAATTTTTTTCATGATTGTAGAGATCTTTTACGTCCTGTTTTGAGAGGTTTGTATCTATTATTTTCACTTGATCCTCTTAGGATATGTTTGGTAGGGCTCCAAATTTAGAGCTAGAGTTGTGGAGGTGGGAAAAGGTATCTCCACCCTTCCTATGTGTATTACGGAGCAGATTCATTGTAGTAGTGTTTGGTTCGGCTCCAGCTCTACTGAACAAGGATCTAGGAGTTGGAGTTCTGCCAAACAACCCCTTATACTAGTGTGGAATATGAAAAATGACACTATTTTGCCTTCTGGATGAATTAGATAGATAGTCAAATAGTATGTTAATGCAGCTATGTCCAAATCGATTTGAATTATGTAGTGAGTTTCTCCCTCCATCTACTTTTTATAGTCATATTTTATCTTAGCACACAGACAAACGATAAGTAATTCTACCTATCATCTAGTTAAACATTCTACTAGTCATTCCTCGTAAACAAGCGATTAATTAATATTTACATTTCTCAATACTCATGTAGCCAATTATGTGTAGAAGAATAGAGAGTCACGCATTAAATCTGAGAAAACCATTAAGATGATAAGTTGTTGGATTAAAATATGCCTATCAAAAATAAATTTTTCAGATTTAAAAATATGACTATCAAAAATAGATAGAGGGAGTACTATGTTTTATGTGGTGCAGGTCGGAAGATGCTTTCAGAAGAGGCATGAGGAATATAAGGTTTGTCATTGCTGTTAATGCCGCTATATGGTGTTCCAACATTTACTATATGATCGTCAGCGCTGCCATGGTGATAAGTCCAAAGATGAAAGTAGGAACTTCCAGGAACCATGAGGTGGGCTAGTTTGTGTTCCCCTAATTGTGCTTTAGACTGCACTGAACAACTAAATATTAAGTCTGTATCCCTTGAACTCCGTACCGATCAAATATGGAGCCTGGAATATTTTATTTGTTTTATATGTTGAAGTGATACGTGCAATATATATATGTATTATTATTACAAGGCTTCTGTTATGGATATTACAGAGAGTCATCTCGGTGGGATGTACTAGAAAGCAGGGGTGGTCTGTTTTGTTTATTTTGAATGAATGGGTTTATTGTTGGCTTATTGTAAATTGCATTTCAGCTTATTCCATTTTTATTCACCCGCGTTGCATTTTAAGCATATTATGTCGTTATGGTTGCTCTATTGTTTTTTTTTCTAAATTGGGCCCTTTCCCTTCTATTTCCTCCATCCCACAATATCATAAATTTTGTTGGACATTAAACATGTTCAGATTCGCCAACTTAGATTGTTATATTACAGAACAAGGAGAGTATAAAATTGAACTTTACATCATTACAGACGGACAGGAGTATAAAATTGCATCAGGGAGAGACGAAAGGGAGGAAGAGGCTGACGAGTGGACCCCACACTGTTTTCCACCTAACTTTGCCACGCGGACAAAAGTGGCAAATAGTTAAGACCATCTTTTAAGAAGGGCAAAAAATTAAGTGTAAACCTAAAAGGGTATTTAAATAATTACCAAACCTAAAAGTGGCAAATAGTTAAATTCCCCTGTATCAGCATACAGTTACTGGTTTGTCTCTGCCTCTCTGCACGTTATCAACACCGTTCGAGGACTTTTTTTTTTTAAGATAATAAATAGATAAAAATCTAGCCTTTGGTTCAACAGAAGCTAGCTACATTAGAGTTGGATAACTTAAGGTGCTTAATTATACACAACAGCTGCCCATACACATTACCAAGGATAATCATAAAGGTTGGTTGCATGTTTCTCATATCGATCGCCGGTGCTTCTAAACCTCATCTTCGTCAATTCGACGCGATCATGCCGGCAACGAAGTAGCCTGAAACAACGGCTGAAATAATCACAGCCAAGTTCAAACGTCTGTTTGCTGTCTTGAGCCTTAAGTTGTTATATGTCACATAAAGGCAGGGGCAGCAAAATGAATATAGTCAGCATATATATCATAGAGGAGACGTTATCAAAGTATATAGATAGTTGGAATATGTATATATACCCTGAGTTGGCCTTGTACTCACGAACCAGGTCAGATAACTCTTTTCTCTTCTCAAAAACAAGGCGTGCCTTTACTGGATCAGCGGTTTTCAAGGCCTCTTCAACTAGATGGAAAAACTCATGTTCCTTCAGCTCACAACGCCTCTTGATATCCATTCGAGCATCCCTAGATTCTGAAGAAAAGCCATGCTGCGGAATAACATGGTAGATTATGTTAACATTCCATTGGCCTTCGCATTCGATACATAAACTATGCATCATACCAAGCTAAGCCCAAAAAAACAGATAATCAATATACAAGCATTTGAGTCAAGCAAATCACTGTGTGTGACAGCTCTTTTGCGCACCCCTAGGCCCTAGATGGTAGGGTCTGACTGCATACATACTGGCTGACACACCAGAGGTACAAAAGTTCTACACACAAGGAAGAGTAATCTGCTCGGTGACTATACAGTACACAGCCTATCTAATGGCATGGTTTACTGTTACCCAGTGAATATCTGCCATCAGGTGCAAGGCTTTACAAGGAGGAGGGGGGCTGATCAAATAAAGCATCCAAATACGATTCTGTCATGTTGCCAGGTGATGAAAAATTTAAAGACATGTTGGAAGTGCCACCTTAGAGGAATTAAATAATCTTACTGAGCTGTTATCCCCTTGTGCAGGTCTGCTAGTTCAAGCATCCGAATGTACTGCTGCCATATTTAAACTTGAAGCTAACAAGGAATGATAGATACTTGATATGAAATTGTGCATTAAGAAATATATAAGACAGGTCAATTGTTTCCTATTTTCAATGCACCAAATTACGAAAAACAGAATTCGGTAGTAGAAGAAAAGGTAATTTTGGAGGCTCTATGAATTTACCAATCAACAATGTTCATTTGGGAATCTTGTGTCCAGATAACTTCAGGGCCTCATCGTTTGGCATATTCATATGCTTATCAGCTAAAATTTGAATTTTCAACATTAGATTTGGAGCTGATTTTAGGGTTTTTTCATCGAAGTTTATTTTTCAGCCTTTGCTTTTAGATCGCTAAGAACACATATATAAAAGTTTTATTTACAAATTGATTTTCGTTTGCAAATATGCCATGCCAAACGATGAGGCTGTCAATCTTTTAAGACGAACATGATTTTCTGGCAGGTTCTTATCCAAAAAATTCAGGACGCAATCTAAAAGAAAATAACATTGTATACTTAACTGGTTTAGAGTTGACACTTACACACTACTGCTAAAAATGCAAATACTCCCTTCTCAGTATCATCATTGCAAGCTAGTTTGAGGAGATTAGGCCCTGATTGAAGTTACTAACATGTCTATCACTCTTTCAAGCACACAAGTTAGCTACATGCATTTGTACTTTCAAGGAAGGAGCCAACCAATTTAAATTACCAATCCAATTGCTCTACAGTTGGATTTCAAGCATGGTTTGGATTGTAGTAACAGATAGAGCATGCATTAAGTGGGGGTACCTTGTTGTTCTTTAGGGCAGCAGATGCATCAGAGTTGATGAGGCGCCGGAGGAGGGGTCCGTGCTGAAACCCTACCGGTGAAGCCGTCGCACCCAGACCCGGAGACGGCGAGGCCGCCACCGCCGCCGAGAACGCGCGGCGCAGCGCTACCCGTGCCGCCATCGCCGTCCAACTCCAACACCCGCTGCTTCTATTCTTCTTCCTCCTTTTTTTTTCCTTTGGGAATTGGGACGCTTCCTTCCTTCGTAAGGCTCTCCGCGTACGGGCCGCCATACCAGGTTCGGGCCTTCCCCTCGAGTTCAAGCCCAGCCCGAAAGTCGAGGAACAAAAAGGATGGCAGAATTCAATCCAAACTCTGAAGGAATAAGTCTATTTTTCCTCCCTCCCTCTGTTGCCCTCGGTCAAACTGTATCCCTCCTTCAACTTCAATTTGAACCCTAATAAATTTTAGTAGGATAACAAACAACATGATCTTACCAATAACAACCTATCAACATTTGATAGTTTCAGAACTTTCCTCATAAAAACACTACCATTTTTTTTAGATTACACGGCAGACGCACACGCGCACACACACCACTACACATGCAACACCACTCAACACCTCCACGAATGCGTCACCTAACACATTCTCTAAGAGATGGAAACCAGCGGCACATCCCTGATCTCACTAAATACATCCAAAGTTATTAAAATTTGGCAATGGTAAAACCTCCCAAAATCTAGCATTCTGACTTTCATCTTGAATGTAAGTTGCTAATGCTCTGTTCGGGAGTGAGGGTTACGAACCCTCACTCTCCGCACGCAAAACGAAACAGCACGTGATTAATTAAGTTTTAGCTATTTTTTTAAAAAAAATAGATTATATGATTTTTTTAAAACAACTTTCGTATATAAATTTTTTTAAAAAAACGCACCGTTTAGCAGTTTGAAAAGCGTGCGCGCGGACGAGGAGTTGGGAACTACTCTAACGAACGGTATAAAGTAAAGTTAAGTAAACGTGGTGGAATTGCTGCTAATTAATTTGGTTTTTTGTTCACCTTTAGGCACTCCGAGAACGAAAGGAACGTGCCTCAGTTTTTGAGGACCCTTCAGATTGATGCCAGAGCACCGTCATGACAAACTCAAGTGTGTGAAGATACTCAATTTCTCGTCTGCAAAGAGTTTGGTTGAGCTAACATGTCACATTGTTGAATCGGCGACATCGCTCGAGTGTCTTACGCTGGACACAACGTCAGGTTTTCCTAGTAGATGTTCAGTGGACAAGCTGGGTAAATGCCTCTTGTTGCGCAGAGAGGTACCCGTGGAAGCTCATAGAGCACTGGAGGCTGTCAAAACGTTCATCAGGTTGAAAGTTCCTTCCAAAGTTGAGTTCAACGTCTTGGAGCCTTGCAGCCGGTGCCATGCTGCTGTTGAGTGGCCTTTAGATGTCAAAAATGTGCCTGTGGTTCTACCAAATGATTAGTTCATTATTGCTAGTGTCATGTTACAAGTTTTGTGTTATTTTAGCCGTGCATTTGTCCCGAAACTATATATCAGCCCTGTCTACTGTTGAGGTTTGTAATATGACATGGATTTAGAACATGTTACCTAGTGTAATTTCATCTTTTGATATTCTCTATTTTCTGTGTTTGAACGATTGTTGATTTTTCATTCATCACAATACTTATTTCAAGAGAGCGTAATCTATTTTCTGGCACTCTTTATTTTATGCACTGAACAAAAAAAAAGAGAGAGTGAAATGTAATGCAAACACGCAGGTGTGTAATGTGTTACAGTTTGTGAAAAATGTGCGAAAGATAATTCATCTCCATACATTTCGTTTTGTTTAGTTTTGCGGTGCAAGAAGTAGCTGAACATTATTTTTAGTGTTTGGTTTGCTGATTTGAAGCGGTATTCGTTTATATTGTTAACGTTTCTTGATGTTTTTTAAGTTTTTGAAGAATCGATGTTTGGTTGCTAGTATGGGATTTCTGAATAATTTATAGCCATAGGCTGTGTTTAGTTCCATTCACACTTCCAAAAATTCTGTCACATCAAATGCTTGGACAATATATGGATCATTAAATGTGGATAAAAAAATCAATTGCACAGTTTACATGTAAATTACGAGACGAATCTTTTGAGCATAATTACGCCATAATTTAACAATGTGGTGCTTCAGTAAAACATTTGCTAATGACAGATTAATTAGGCTTAATATATTCATATCGCAGTTTACAGGCTTAATCTGTAATTTATTTTGTTATTAGTCTACATTTAATACTTTAAATATGTGTCTGTATACTTAAAAAAATGAAAATGAACTAAACACGGCCATACTTTATCATAACTTTAACAAGTCGATTTTTTTAGAAACTTTAACGATTAGACTTGAGCAACCTGAAAATAACTAGATTGAGATGGCTAAAATGACACATGTTTCTTTACGTACGGCAAGTTGAGACGACAAGACGATTATTATTCCTGCAATTTAAACTAAATAATTTTCGTGTGGTGTAGATGAATATAGCCATGCTTAGCTAATCCTTAATTTCTCCTTAGAGAGAAAAGCACGGCAAATTAATATCCATATCCATAGATAGATAGAAGAAGAATCGAGGAGGAGAAGGAGGAGGATGGAGCAGCTCCGGCAGGTCGGCGAGGCCATCGGCGGCGTCAACGCCCTCATGGCCTTCCACGACGACCTCCGCTGCATCAACCCTCGCCAATGCGCCCTCCTCGCCCACGCCTACGCCCTCGCCTTCCGCGCCGTCGCCGGCGAGCTCCGCGCCCGCCTCCGCTTCCACGACCGCCTCACCAAATGGAAGCCCCTCGACGATCCCCTCCGCGAGCTCCACCGCGTCGTCCGCGACGGCGAGGCCTACATCCGCCACTGCCTCCTCCTCGACCCGGCCCACTGGTGGGCGCGCGCCGCCGCCGCCACGCACGGCACGGAATGCGTCGAGCACCACCTCCACAACCTCCTTTGGTGCGTCTCCGTCGTCGTCGAGGCGGTCGAGAACGTCGGCGAGGTCACCGGCTCCGACCCCGACGAGCTCGCCCGGCGGCGGCTGGCGCTGGCCAGGGACTACGACAAGGACCTGCTCGATCCAAAGCTCTTCCGGGAGAGGCTCGGCGAGACGTTCCTCGCCACGCGTGAGCTCGCCGCCCGGATGGACATGGCGTGGAAGGAGGACAGGTGGCTGCTGTCCCAGCTTCTCGACGAGAGGAAGGGCCCGACATCGTCGCCGGAGCCGCCATTGACGCGGCAGGAGCACCGGCTCGCCGACCTCCTCGCCGCGCCGCGCGGGAAGCTGCACCCGGCGAGCGTGCTCCTGATGAGCGACTTCCACATGCGGAGGCGCCTCGGGGGGAACGGGAACCTCAAGGAGGTGCAGTGGTTGGGGGAGGCGTTCGCTGTGAAGCACGTCGTCGGCGTCGACGCCGAGGCGGCGGCCGCGGAGGTGGCGGCGCTGGCGTCGGTGTCGCCGCACCCGAACGTGGCGCACTGCCGCTACTGCTTCCACGACGAGGAGAAGAGGGAGCTGTACATGGTGATGGACCAGCTGATGAGCAAGGACCTCGGCAGCTACGTCAAGGAGGTGAACTCCGCCAAGCGCCGGGCGCCGCTCCCGCTCGTCGTCGTCGTCGACACCATGCTGCAGATCGCGTGCGGCATGGCGCACCTGCACTCCAACAAGATGTACCACGGCAACCTCAACCCATCCAACGTGATCGTCAAGCCGCGCCATGGCGACGCCTACCTGCATGTCAAGGTCGCCGGCTTCGTCTCCGGCTCCGGCACGGCGAACGCGGCCAACCCATGCATCTGGTGCGCGCCGGAGGTGGTGGGGAACGAGGCGGCGGCGACGGAGAAGGGCGACGTGTACAGCTTCGGGATGATCTGCTTCGAGCTGATCACCGGGAAGATCCCGTTCGAGGACAACCACCTGCAGGGGGAGAACATGAGCAAGAACATCCGCGCCGGCGAGCGGCCGCTGTTCCCGTTCCAGTCGCCCAAGTACCTGACCAGCCTGACGCGGCGGTGCTGGCACGGCGAGGCGGCGCAGCGGCCGCCGTTCCACTCCATCTGCCGCGTGCTCCGCTACGTGAAGCGCTTCCTGGTGATGAATAACCCGGAGCAGGCGGCGGCGGACGCGGCTGGAGCCGGGCCGGCGGTGGACTACCTGGACATGGAGGCGCAGCTGCTGAGGAGGTTCCCGGAGTGGGAGGGGAACGGTGTCGCCGACGTGCCGTTCGAGATGTACGCGTACAGGGTGATGGAGAGGGACAAGATGAGCAACGCGTGCAGGGACAGGAGCTCCGACTCCGGCAGCGACGGCAACTCGCTGTGGGGAGATGACAGCGCCAGCGGCGGGTCCAGCACGACGGCGACGGACGCGTCGGCGTCGAGCCGGCCGCTGCTTGACCGGAGCGGCAGCACGAGGTCGTCGCCGCCGCGCAAGGTGGCCATCGCCGCCGCCAAGGCAGGCAAGTGTCGCAGCGGCATTGTTACTCGTCTAAAGCCTTCCTCCAAGATTACAGCTAGCTCCATGTCCGTGACGTGTGCAGGGCCGCCGCAGAAGTCGAGGTCGATGGGCACGGTGAGGCCGCCGCCGGTCGTGGCCCGCCGAACGCCGAGGATTAAGTCCGACGGCCACCTCAATAGGGCGGCAATTCCGCCTACCCGACGGCGTAAATCCGGCGGGAACGCTTCAGACTCGGAGTTAGCTTAGCAAAATGTTGGGTAGCCTTCTTTCTCATATGATGAGAGGTTTTCACTTGTTTCAGAAATACAGTATCAAAACGTCAACAATGAAAAAAATTTCACTCTTGTAAATAATAAGCAAACGAATGGATGGATGTAATGTAATACTACAGATACTTCAGGAATGGGAAAAGGAAATGCTGGTATAAAACGCACCAACATTACTCGGTTTAAGTAGAGTATTTATCAGCAGAAACAATCTTAGACAAAGAGAAGAAAATGATGAAAATCAACTATTAGCAGCACACAGCATACTGCATGAGTTTTCAATCTCAATACACCATCACGACTGAATAGACTTTATGAGTTAGGCAAATGCTTCATGCTTTACAGCCAACTTATTAATTTTTCCCACGGGTCCAGCAACAATTAGGATCTGGAAACAGTAGTAGGATATACCAACATGGGCTGAGAGGGCCTTATGCTGAATGGGAGCCTCAGTGCTATGATCCTTCTACCTGCCCTTCCTACAAAAACAGAACTCACCACCCTACAAAAATAGCAGTTGATAATGACCAGCACTAACTCCAATTTCTTCAGTCTGATATCCTCATCTCTACTCCTAGAACTTTTTGCACAAACTCGTATGTCACGAATGCAATAGCGATAGAAGGCACCACCTGATGAAGAGGCAAGCAAAGGTCAGCATGTCATAAACAAGCACTACGATGATGATCCATTAAGGTTGCAAATATTTGAATTTTTCGTAGGAAACATTACCTTCACTGAATTGGGCACAAGACCCTTGTACAAAGCACCAACACCTTCATAGCGAACAGTTTTCCTGAATGCATCGATCATACCATTGTACTGGAGCGCCTCTTTGCCTTCTCCAGTAACAATAGATGCTGCATTATTCCAACCAACCATCTGCATTCTCCTCCTGATGACATCAAGAGGGTAAGCAACAGTCTGGCCTATGGTTCCAGCCACAGCTCCACATCCAAGCCTTGTAACTACATGCAACTCATTGTCCTTGCCAAGATCATATGGATTTGTCTGAAGCAGCCAGTCCTTCAGAGACTCGTACACAGCAAAGTTGAGGCCAACATACGGAACCTGCAAGAAGATGACAAAGATAATGTGGAAAGCACTTGTCAGCAAGGCACTAACGAGGCAAAGCTGTTAACTAATTAAAGAAGAGACCTACCACTCCGATAACAGATGGAAGCCACCCTCTGTATAGAGCACGGAAGCCTTCTTCACGGTATACTGAACCCAATGCATGAAACATACCACGGTACTGATAAGGAGACTTTTCCGTCTGCATATATGACATTTAGAGGTCAATAGACAGAATATGAAACAGAAGTAGATTGAGTTATGCTGTGTTGACGTTGTTGATACATTACCTGCACGGTAATCCTACCCCTAACCATATCCATCGGGTAAGTAGCAGACATGGCTATGATACCAGCACAAGCACCAGCTCCAAGGCGCAATAGTGGACTAAGCTGAGCATCCTCTGTACAGCATAGGAACATGTCAGTGCTGAATCCAGAATTTTCTGTTATCAACTTTATATAATACATCAACAAGAATATAAATTCTCTTGTTCAATTGAAGCAGAACATTCAAGAAATCTATTTGTACAGAAAAAGACATGAACATCAGGAACCCTTCCAGTCAAAAAAAAAACATCAGGAACTCTGCTCCCCAGCATTTAAATTGTTAATTTACATTTTTAGAACAATACTATACATAAGGAACATTGGATATTGTGTAAGCTCTAAGATCCGTCACAGGCTCGCAGCATGTCCAGCAGTGTTGCACACGTTGTCATATTACTGACAACTCTACAGCATACAAAATGATTTGGACTCAGTGTGCATATACAGTGAGCACGGACTGAGATAACGAGAACAGACACTGGAGATAACGTGCGCTCAGAGTATTGCACTACTTGCTTTGTACTACTCTTTGGAGGTGAGGTATTCAATCTTTCAAAGTTGCTAATGGATTCCAGTTTGGTAGGTGATTCAGTTACATAAGCCTGTCCTCTAATAGGGATTTAAAAAGTAAAAGGCAGACTTTGTTTTCAAGTTCAAGCGGATGACCAACAACTTTTCTTGTGTGCTTTATCGTCCTAAAGCAGGACTACAAAGGTCGCTAGCAGAAACAACAAATAATTAGCTGTACAAGGAAGACTTTGTTTCCAAGTTCAAGCTGGTGAGCAACAGCTTTTCTTGCGCTCATCACTTCATATCAGGACTAATAAGGTTTCTAGCAGAAATAACACATGATTTAGCTGTACTGGGCCATCTAGACGAATGAAGGTTTTTGACTTATTATACAAGGCCTCACAATCTTGAAAACGATCATAATATATATTGAAACTAAAAACTGAACAAGAGATGGGCAAGCTGAGTATAAAAAGTCTACAATTGTATTTTTCCTATAGATAAACGGAAAAAACCGTAGAGCAGTCATGAGACTCATTACGTAGTCAACAACCAAAGGTCTGCAATAACAACATGGTGTGTAAACACTTTCAAAATAACTAAGATGCATACACAGGAAAACTAATGTGTAGTATGGTAATAACGGAGAGAAGCATACCATTCCCTGTTTGTTGCCGATAAAGCCATAAAATTCCACTGCATAAAATAACAAAGAAGGCAAGAATACAATTACTAGTGCTTTCATGAAACAAAACCATATTAACAGTAGAGTAAAAAGGAAATGCTTCTGACCAAGATCAGGTCAAAGAAGACTCATCATGCAACAGAGAAAAGGTCTGCAAAGTGCAAAGGACAAATAGCAAGTAGGTGGCAAGAGAGCAAGCAGTAATGTAGGATGACAGTAATTGGAAACAATAACAAACCTTGATGCTTGCTCATAGCTAAAAAACTTCACGGCAGAATTTGGAACAATTCTGGCACAATTGGTACCATTGCCCTTAAAAAGTCCACGGAGACCCTCTGTTCTCCATATGTACTTAAGACCTTGAATTGTACCGTTGTACTTGATACTGTGAGGGTTTTGGACCTGCATTAGGAAAGATAACACGAATCAGGTGTTAGAACCAACTCATACAATTGCCCACACATTTCCACGCAAAGTACTTGTACAAATTTACAATATTAACAAGAACTGGACTAGGGTTTAGCACCAAGTGCAGTGTCTGTACTTCAACTATTAATACAAATGGCTATATATATGTAGTGAAAGAGGTTATGTTTCAAGCAAGCTCCGCAAAGTAGACAACAATAGCATGCCACCAGATAAGAAATGCAACAGCAATGAAAATATCACCTGAAGCAGAATCTTCATTCGTTCGAGCGGAGCAACAGCAGTACGTGATCTGTTCAACAAAAAAAGTAAATAAATATTATAAGCATAATTGTGTAGTTAGTTAGAAACGATTGGTCCAAGTAGATTGTCATTTGCTGGTCAAGCTCGACAAAATGCACCAGAATGGATAACGAGAAAAGAAAACCTGCACCAGGTAAACATTCTAGTTGATCCGTGTGTTTTGCTCAAACATAAAATAAATAATTTCTGCGTGGACTTCAGCTGACTATAACAACACCTGATAGCAACATTTTTAGCCCAAGAATAAAACAAGTTGCAATACTCTTAAACCGATCTTATATCAGATGACATAATTATGCATATAATTGATTATTGTTCAGCTTTAGATGCAAGTGCATGACATTATAAAGAACAACATACTCCATGAAACCTAAATTATTAAACCATAAAGGTGAAAACTAATTGGAGTGCGACACAAACATGTAAAGGGTCTGATGCATAAAGTGAGAAATGACTCTTATTTAGAGGAATTAGACAGCTATTAGTGAAACCAAACTGAGATATTGAAATGTCCAGGCCAGCCGCCCAGATGATTTGTCGTAAAACTATAAGATAATAACAGACAAGATAAAGGCTGAAAATTTAATAGAGCCATAGGATGAAAAAGCCAACACCACCTTGTCAGACACAATATATTGCTAGGGTGTTGGTGTACTTATCCAGATAATATATTTTGCATTGAATACAATAATTCAAGTGGAACTTGGTTAGATCACAGGCAAACCGAACCAACAAGACGGAAATTTTAATCCACCAGATGGCCAGGCTATACCATGACAACGAGTTGGACCGTAAATGCATTCGTCCACATGGCCCAGTGAACCGAATCAACTAACGAGTCAACGAAACGAGATCTGGTTACCTCGTTAGGGTTTAAGCGTGGCGAATTCATCATAAGAGTCCATAGATCACACATCTCCGGAACAGACGTTCATGCAAAAACTTATAACCGCACACACACAACATAGCCGAAACAAATCGCGACGAGGAATTAAAAAAATGGTAGGACACGAGAACCACAAATCCATCAAGGATCAAACGCGAATCTAAAGGAAACCACTGAATCTAATCCGGGAGCCGCGCAGAGAGAATTCAACACGGAGACGATGAGACGCGGGCATGGAGAAGAACAGGGGGGATAGATAGATAGATAGAGAGAGAAAGAGTGAGGGAAACTCACACTCCACCGGCGACGCCACCGGCGAAGAGAGACTTGCAGATGGAGAGCACCTGGTAACCAGGCCCCTTGACCCCCTCCCGCGCGAGCTTGGCCTCCTCCGCCAGGTTGACGATGGTGGTGACCGCGGTGTCCCCCCTGCTCTTCCCCACCACGTCCTCCGATGCCATGTCCACCCGGCCCGCACCGCACCGGATCGCCCGCTCGCCTCGCCGACGAGATCAGCCCCCGCGCCCGTCTCCTCCTCTCGGCCTCGGGTTTTTGCGGCGGCGGCGGCGGCGGCGGCGGGAGGAGGAGAGGAGGGGAGAGGTGTGCGTGCGTGCGGCGGGGAGAGGCGACTGGTTGCTAATTAACCTATTTCGTTTTTTGCTTTTGTCACAAAAATAATATATAATGATAATAATATTGCTGCGCGCACGCGGGGAACAGCTGGTCCATCACTGGCTGCGGGTGGGCCCGAGGAGGGAGTGGGACCCACATGGCGGTGACTCAGTACACTGTGGCGCTGTAGGTTTAGGGGCGCCGCCGGGGGGTTGCGATCTCGCCGTCCGTGCTTATCTCCCTCCGCCCCCCGCTGCCTCGGGATGGACGAACGGGGCCCACCTGTCATTGACACAGAGAGAGAGAGAGAGAGAGGAGGGGAGAGGCTTAACGGAAACCTAGATCCGTCGCGACGGAGTGCCCGTGTTCCCCCTCTCTCTCCGGGCCTCTCCCTGCTTTAATTTATCTTTATCGTGGAGATATAGATTTTGTTGTTAGTTAATAAAATCTGAGAAGAATGATTTCTTCGGATTTAAATAACGTTGAATTTAAACAAATTTCTTCTGCTAATTAGTGTTCATCTCGTTGATAAGGCCATATAGTCACCAAAAAAAAATCTCTACTTTGTGAGACATGTGTAATTGCGAGCATGAAAATGACTCCAGTGCACACCTGTCTCCTGGGCTGGGCATACATATTTCATTTCATTATTTTGTTTAGTTTTTGTTCCTTTTTCTCCCAGCATCGATGGTATAATTCTTTGCACCATATAATATTCCATCATTTCCTTGGTGCCAAGAAGAAGAAAAAAAAGACATTGCTTGGTTCCTAATTAAGGGAGTTCGGTGCTCACAATCGATCGATCGGTTGGTGAATGACTGAATATCATTTGGTAATGTCGGTACGGTATGTAACACTGACTGCACTTCATATATGGTCTTAATTTCGAAGTGGATCCTGCATCACACATTTTATGCGGAAATATGTGTGGATGCCAAAATGAACGGTCTAATCATTTACTTATCGGATCGTGTATTTCCATGGCCAAGTTTAATTCTTTGCTGACTTTGAGAAAAAGAAAAGAAAAAAGTTGATAGAATGTGACAGACGTAGACTAATATTTGGCCTTTCCTGCTCAACTTGGGCCAAAATTCTCGTTTTATGGCTGTAGCAATTCGAGGACCACGCATCAGTGCGCAAAGGCATTTGGCGACTGATCCATGGATGATACGCATACTGCAAGTATGTAACAGCGATCACAAATGGTTTTGCGTTGCGTTTTTGTGGATGGGATAAAATAAAACGTCGTGGACAACATACATAGATGGACGCGCGGCAAAATTCAGGGGAAGGAGATCAACGCCTCTGCAATTTGCAGTCACATAATTTTCATTTCAGTCGCCATATCAATAAACTAGTGGACAAGAATATCTGAATATGTACTCGAATGTATACGTTGTCCATTCATCTATAGTGCAAGCTGTTTTAGATTTGTTCTTTGGTCAGATTCATTTGTTTAATTAAGTTTGTAGAAAAACCATAGCAAAATCTGTAACATCAAATTGATCTCACTAAACCCACTGCTGAATATATATATATATATATATATATATATATATATAGCATGTTTGTTTTGTGTTCAAAATGCAACCATACTTGGTTAAATGAACAAGTTTAATTCAGGGTAAAATGAAACACTTACAGGATATAAAGTTGAGGGAACAGGATAATGAAGTATGTGATGCAAGAATCCAAAGGTGGTGTGATCGGCAGGTAGCCATCGCATGGCAATGTGGCGGCCGGAGATCGAAAGGGCGAGACACCGTCGTTGTCTCTCCGTTTTTCTCCACAAACTCTGGGATAAGGCCGGGGAGGAGACCAAAATCACACACCCCCATGACACCATGTATACAATGGTATCGGGGACGGACGAAAAGAAAAATAGGACTGAACAAATTAGATAAAGTTTTAACTTTCTTTGTAAATATATGACAAAAAAATTAAGAGGTTTCCCTCAATTCCAACATTGGTATTGGAACTAGATGTTGGTTCTATGGTTTGGGTCCGCTCAGTAGAGCACCCACCACCCGTGTCGAGCGAATTTATTTTCCATGTGATTTTACTATCCTTAAAAATATACCATACTTTATAATGTAAAATTTAATATCTCCGGATACTAATTACCTCGATGTATTTTTTCAAGACTATAAATTTCTTAAATTATAGTCATACATACGGATGAGACACAATGGTCATGACAATGCGTGAAGCCTGTTGATGACTTCAATATATCTCAGCACCACGTGCAATCTCTGGGTTTGCGTAGATATAACTTGCACTTGGTGTACATGGGTGGTGTGAGTTTGTGCGTAAGTTCAGATACTACTAAGTTCTCAAAAAAAAAAAGTTCAGATACTACTACAGCGTATATACGTGAAGAGTTGAGAAAAGAAAAAACAGGTGTTCAAGCCCCATCGATCCATGACAGATCCGCCACTAGGAATAAGTTCACTTTAGGTATCGTCCAGTCTAATTTTTATCTCTGCAGCACAAAACCAACTTACAAAACCGTGCAAAGAAGCTCCCTCAGCGGTATAGTCGCTGGTTTTGGCTGACGTGGCGCCTACGTGGCGCTCCTTTGACTAGGTTTTCGTCCAACGTGGGCATTGACGTGGCGCTTACGTGGCAATTTGATCCAAAAAATAATAAAACCCGTGGGACCCACATGTCAGGTTTACACAAATAATAAAAAGTGGTGGGGCCCACACGTCATCCTCACTACCCTCATCTCTCTCTCCCACTTCTCTCTCTCCAGCCGGCGGAGCGGGGTGGGCGGCGGCCGGAGCAGCGGCAGAGCAGAGGGCGGAGGCGAGGGGCGAAGCGGGGCGGGCAGCGGCGGGTCGGTGGCCGGAGCGGCGGCGTGTTGTGGCCCACAACTTGTGGGCGGAGCGGCTGGTCGGCAGCCGGTAGAGAAGAGGACCGGCGGCGCGTCGTGGCCGGAGCAGAGGGACGGAGCGGCCGGCCGGCGGGGGAGAAGTCGCGGAGGTGGACGGAGGGGCGCGGGGCGCTGACCGGCTGGAGGAGAGGAGCTTCCCGCGGCCCGTAGCTGCTCCGCCCTCAGCTCCGGCCGTGGCCCACCACTCGTTCCACGCGTTCTCCCGGTGGTCGTTCACCTGCCCCTGCACGCCGCGCAGCGGGCTCCGCCGGTCCAGCACTGCGTTTTTCGCCAGCCGGTTGAACATCCTCGCCACCGCCTTGTCGCTGCCCAGCCCATTTGACACCACGCCGCCGCTGAGCAGCCGCACGTCGTCGCCGGGCCGGAAGCTGATGTCGCGGAGGCTCCGCGTTGGGCTGCGGCTGAAGTGGACGCCCGCCTGCTCCAGCTCCGTCACCGACGGGACGAACTCGTCCTCCCGCTGCCTCTTGCGGCCGGTGCTCGGCGGAGGTGGTGGCGGCGTCCCATGGAGGAGGCTTCGGTGGCAGACGTCGATCGGGTGTAGCGCCAGGGCGTCGCCGGTGATCAGCGGTGGGTCTCGCGTCATCGACACGAATCGGAGAACCATGTCGTTGATGACATTATCCGTCTGTCCATCACACGGATCAAATCAAATCGGTTCTTGGATGATTCTTGATTTCTTGATTGATTGATCGATTCCGCGATGTACCTAACGCTTTGTGCGGGCCGCGAACGACGGCGACGAGGCGCCGTCCTACTCGTAGCCCGCTCCGGCCACTGCCCAACCTGCTCCGCCGGCCGGCCGCTGCGCCCCGCTCGTAGCCCGCTCCAGCCGCTGCTCAACCTCCTCCTATCGGCTTCGCGCGTCGCCGCCCGCTCGGCTCCGCCGGCCGCCGCCGCTCCGCACTCCTGCCGGCTTCGCCCGCCGTCGTCTCCCCTGTCCGCCTTGCTCTGGCGAGTTGGCATGTGTTTAGAGAGAGGATAGAGATAAGAGATGAGGCCAATTGTGACATGTGGGCCCATGTGGGCACCACCAATTTTTTATTATCTATGTGTAACTAACATGTGGGTCTCACGGGTTTTATTATTTTTTTCAGATCGGATTGCCATGTAATGCCACGTCAATGCCACATTGGATGAAGACCTAGTCAAATGAGCGCCACGTCAGCTAAAACTATGGACTATACTGCCGAGGGACCTTGTTTGTATGGTTTTGTAAGTTTGGGGATACGTTGTATCCGGTTTTGTATAGCAGAGACGAAATTGGACTGAGCGACAAATAGAGGGACCTGAAGTGAACTTATTCCCCGCCACTACGGTACAAGCCCACAAGTCAGCTAGACAGAGTGATGGGCCGATATGCACGTGCTTTGCTTACCTTTCGGCCCATATATTATGTTCTCTGGGCCTGTAGAGCAAACGATCAAGCCCACGATTAAGGAAAGTAGCACATGGATGGGCCCGGCCTGCTATATGCGAATGTGGTCGTCGTGGGCCAGCCTATCCTATGTGTCCACTACTAACTACTAGCAATGGATTCCAGATGGGCTTTCTCTGATGAACTAGGCTTTTTTAGCTCATACAGATATCCCGCGTAACTATTCTCTCTCTTTTTATATTTTTTCTTTCCCATGAGAATAACAATAATAATAAAAAACGATTGCTTTCATTCAATTGACTATTGACTAGACCACTCACTATATATGCACCACATGAACAAGCATAATAGTCGTACAAGACCACTGGCTCACTATGCAATAAGTTTAGGGCTTAATTGTTTTGGGGGAAAAACAAAGTATCTGAATTTATAAGGATTACTTCTTTCCTGCAAGGTGAGGAGTATAGAGAAAACATAATTTTTTTTCATCCATTCATTTTTTTTTGAAAAAAAAATCTAATAAATTAATGTGCGCAAACATTTATATTCCTTTAGTTTTTCTATTTCTATAGATTCAAATTCGTCCGAATCAAATAAGCCCTTACTATTTAGTCCACCGTTCCATAAAAAACCTACATAGTACTCGATGTGACGCATCTTAGAACTGTGAATCTGGATAAACATCTGTCCATATTCGTTGCACTATAATTTATCACATTCAGTATTAGATTTATTTTTTCTAGACGGAGAGGGATTACACACCAAGTAATTAACCAATGGAAGGAACGAACACGCATACTTAATTTGACTTTGAAACCAGCTACTAGTACGTGTACTGGCCTATATATAAGGTTGGAAATGTACATATGTTGGCCGTGCGAGCGCGTGGACAAGTCGATGGATCGGTCGGAAACCTAAATTAACACACGTGCAATGCGAAAATGACCCATATCCCCAGCTGACCAGCAAGCAAGCTAGGCAGCAAACAAAACTACTACTCCATGGAGAGGGATGCAACAATGTCCCGGTTCGTGCAGGCACGGATGCAACTATGCGACAACGACTTACTTCCCAGTCTCCAAGGGCCTTTTGTTCTCCACGAACCGATCCACTGTAAGCTGCACCATGCATTGCATGATGAAATCAAAACAGTCAAAAGCAATATTTTCTTTTCGCGAGGAGTCAAAAGCAATATTATTTGCAAGCATGTAACGTTGATATATTTTTCATAAACTTCGTCAAACTTAATGAAGTTTGACAAAAAAAAATGTTAAAGCATCTTATAAAAAAGAGTGACACGACAATTTTAATTTGCTACTCAAATTAAAGAGATACTTATTTTACAAATTATATAAGGCTATGTTTATTTGTGGAGCAATTTTACAGACCTTAAGGAGCTACCATGAGATAAAAAATTTAGTATAAATATAGCCTTATATAATTACTAAAATAAGTATGTACATACGTAAGTAAGTACGTATATACACGTATCCACCCGCGACAAAGACAGATCCATTTGTGATTTCCGCAGATAGCCTAGCCTATATCATCCTCCTTCCCCCTCGAGGACCAAGCATACCATGGGCGGGCCTTTTAGTGGTCTGCCTGTGAGATGAGAGGTTATATATATGTGAAAACCGTTTATAGTGGTATTCATCGAATCAAACAGTACTGTGCTACAATATTCACCGATGACGAGTTGACGACCGATCCATTCATCCAATCCGGCCAAATCGATCGACATTACTACGTACATACAACTTATGGTCAACAACATCTGCATGGACTCTTAATACACATTACCCGGACAGTCCAGATAGCTACTGTACAGGTACTGTATGCATTGCATCAGCGCCGTACGCACAAGTACCATACGAACGTCGTGCTCCTATAGTCCCTAGCCGTCGCTCACTATATATACAAATTAAAGTCGTTCCTCGTCTTAGCTTTGAATAATTCAAAAACCAAAAGATCAAAACCAAGGGCTACAAAACCACTTTTAATTTTACCAACAAATTCATCCCCCGTGTGTTATGCGTGTTTCGCGGCGCAGACTAGTTTTTGGATTATTGTTACCAGGTTTTTCGTATGGTCAACCTCTGAAAACATCGTGTTAGTTACTATAGCAAGTTCTAAAAAAAAAGTTACTATAGCAGTTTTCGTTCTAGTCCGTATGCCTCGTATATGAGCATGTTCCTAGCTAGGTTTGTCCTGATCGATCGAATTGAAATGGATTAATTATTGGTCATATTAGATATCAATCTGAGGCTAGTGTCGTTTTCTACCTCTAGAAAAGACATGATGAGAGGGAAGGGGCAGCTTAAGAAAAATTCCACTAATTAATGGTGGAGTGGCGTCTTGCTCAGAGATCGTGTTGACGAAAAAATCGAACACACTGGCCTGGGAGATCTATTTAGCTCCTGTGCAGGTCCAAAGGTTGATGAGATGCGGACGTGCCAGTCTGTTTGATCTTGCAACTGACAAGATATGTAAATAGTAGATCAAAACAGTCGATCGGCTGACAAGCCGATGGAGCAATCTCAGCCGATATCGATAATAGCCGATGCCAATACCAGCCGATAGCGATAGGGTTTTGATAAATCGGCTATATGTCCAATGTAGATGATGATATAAAAGGCAATCGGCTGATGATAATATAATATTGCAATATAATCCAGTATAAACCAATCGGCTAGCAATGATATGATAAATAAGCATCGATTCGAGGTTTAAAGCACACATCGGCTGGAGGTCCGATGTCATGAAATCCACGAGATTAGATTAAACGGTGAAACCTTTGTTGTCATCGGCTAAATCCAACTTATATGTATATGCAATCCTTATGAGCCGATGCAACGTCCAGATAACTCACCAGCTGAAACCCCGATGATACCCTTATTGGCAATCAAGAAGCAGGCTAGAGATTATGGTTCTAAGCACGACTTAGTAGATCAAACTTAACTGATGCAGCACTAAGTATGAAAAGAAACATAATATCTAGACAATCAAGCCGTTGACTGAGTTTTCAGGGTGGTAGATGTCTAAGCTAATCTAATCTAGCAACACGATTTAGCCGATACCGGCAGAAACCCTAAAACGAGAAGCAGCCAATAGAGCTAAATTGATATGCTAAGACTAGATTAACAGAGACATATGATAAATAGGTAGGCAAATATATCATCCAAAGCAGAGCAATCCAAGAGGTCGAATGTATTGATGCAGCCTTGAATGACGCCGACGTAAACGATACAATTGCCTGGGCCGGCGGAACATTGGACTTACCCCTTAGCCGGAGATCGAACACCGATGCAGCCCCGCGTCAGGTGACAAGTCCCGCCGGACGATAAAATAAAGTAGAAAAGGTAAAAGGTGGCGATGCGCCGAATTGTATTGATCGTGGAGATAGATTACATAGACCCCGGGTGTACATATTTATACCCATGGGTTAATACAAGTCCTTGTCGGACAAGAAAGAAACTTTCCTAAAGATAAAAGAAAAAGATAAAGTCCTTATAGGACACTAAACACACTTTCCTAGAGATAAAAGGAAACTAACAAACTATTCCTAATTAATAAATAACTTGCCATGCCGCATTCTCTTTGAACTCGGTCTCTTCTGGATAAGCTTCCTTTAGTAGATCAATTTCCTTAACCGAATATAGCAAGAATCCGACAACCGACGACTTGACAACTCTCATCGGCTAATCTCAGGACTTCCAAGCCGATGCTGACTCTAAGACAATGACTACTCCGGGCTTACCAAATTTCACTGTTAACACTAGCCCACCACCTTATGAAGCTAGCCGTAAAATCCATGATGTTTCTCCTCCCGACGGACCTATATATTGTACAACAACAATTATAGTCATGTTATCGAGATGCATGCCATTTTATCAGCGCCTCAGTCCTACCTATCCTAGCTAGCTCAGCTCGTTTGTTTATAAGCAACACTTGTGCAATTTGAAGTAACCAAACAAAGACATACTACTACTATAGTCGTAGCTAGAGTTCAGTATTAATGTACAGTGTGGCGTGAACGGAATCATTATATATCCTTTGTGCTTAATTAGCAGCTACTACTTCTAGATAGTAGTACTAAGTACCGACATGTGATTCTTATGCATCGCATATGACCTGATCAAGGCTAGACGACTTACTAATAAATTTCAAGCCTCCAACAGAGACTATATGCATATTTAAATAGCTGATGGTCAGTAATTAAACATGCACGACACATCGATCGTACTACGCTCTAGCTCGTGTTTAATTGTCTGTCGATCGATCGATCTGATGTCTCGATGCAATGGCTTGGCTTACCGGCCGAATAAAACAAACAATCAATTAGCTGTGGCAGTTAATCTTTTCGTCTTTGCAAGGACAGACATGGAGGCAGAAGCTGCTGGAGTAGTACACTGCTGCATCGAGGTTTCAGAAACAGTGGTGTAACTGTAACGTACGTTCAGGCATCAATTTCTGACAAAATATGCATCAATTTCTGACCAAATTGTGTCCGATCTTACATTTCGTTACCGAGTGAATGCATGGTTCTGACACAGCACTGTGTAATTCTACTACTACTACTACTGTATAGTACCAGTACA